TTCAGGGTCATAGCTGGATAATTTATTAGAAATCTCATTTGTTTTAAAATGCACTATGGGCTGTTATATTTTATGCATAATCCATAAAATATTATTTTTAATTTAAACATTTTTAATTCATATCTCTTTTTATAAAAGAAGTCATAAAAATAAGATTTTTCTCTTTATATATACACACATTAGGTAAAGAAAATGGAAATATTTAATTAATTAATTCCTGTGCTTCTGCTGGAGAGGACTGAATTTAAAAGCAATTATTAAAGTAATTTTTTTGTTAAAAAAATGTTTAGGGTCTTAATACTGTCTCATGTTAACTGGAATGAAAGTTTAGAGTCGTAAACATCCCAAAGTCTGAGCACATGTATATACATTCACATAAAAGTGAAACGAAAAAATATATATATATCTGCAGGGTTTCAAAATAAATTAAATTTAAATAATTCTCTTGCGTCATTGCTGCAAGGAATGAAATTTGAATTTAACAAACATTTTCTATTCTTAAAAAGCAAATTTAAAGTTAATTAAATTTAAATGAAATTTAATGCAAACAAATAAATGATTAATTATTGCTGCGAACTAATATACAATATCATTTAAATTCTGAAGCATATGTAAATCAAGTGCAAGTATCAAAATCCATGAATAAATATATAATTCCAAAAATTTATTTATCCTATTATTCACTTATGCATTTTTATAAATTTTTTAGGATTAAATCTATCCTATTATTCATTTGTGCATTTTTATATTTTTTAGGATTAATAAGCTATCCTATTATTCATTTATGCATTTTTATAATTGTTTAGGATTAATAATCTATCCTATTATTCACTTTTGCATTTTTATAATTTTTTTAGAATTAATAATCCATCCCATTATTCACTTACGCATTTTTATAAATTTTTTAGGATTAATAAATTTTTGAAATTATATATTTATTCATGGATTTTGATACTTGCACTTGATTTACATATGCTCTCAGAATTTAAATGATATTGTAGATTAGTTTGCAGTAATAATTAATCATTTATTTATTTGCATTTAAATGTCATTTAAATTTAATTAAATTTAAATTTGCTTTTTACGAATAGAGAATGTTTCTTAAATTCAAATATATATGTACAGGGTATGCTTTAAATTAGTATTATATAATTTTCAAACTTTTTCGCGGGGGAAATTTAAATAAATAAGAGCATAAATAAAACAATATATTTAACGCATATAATAATAGAAATAAGTTATAAAACACAAATATAGATCAAATTGGAACAAAAAGCTGAGAAAGTTGCAGACAGGGTGCAAAAAGCATATGGGATTCGAACTCATGACCCCCAAAAGTAAACATTATTACCATCAGCTTTACCACATCACACGGGAGACGTAAGCATATTTTGGCTTATATACATCATCAAGTAAATCAATTTTTAAAACTAATTTTTTAGGTCCTATTTCAGTGTGCTATTGTCTGAAAAATTCCCCAGTTTGTTTTTCAGCTTCTAGTAAATTTTTTACAAAAAACATTATCTTTTAAAGTGGCGTTCCGATTGAAGTTAAACGGGTTGCTAAAAATATATTTCATGTGCTTACAAATATATGTTGGCCAAAAAGATATATTTATAAAGGGAAATACAAATTTAACATACTCTTTAATGCAGTGGAATATTTAAAAGGCTATCAAATGTAATTTATAATTAACGTTTTAATTTTTACCTGTTTCAAAAGAAAAAATAACAAATCTTTTAATCATATCTAATTTGCTTATAGCAGTTTGATATGTTCAGACATTCATTTTCATTAAAGGTAAATGAGTATGCAGAACTAGCAAATAATTCTCAGGACAAATTTTGCTATTTCATGGACTTGGAAATATAATTTTTGCCACTGACTTTCTTGAACTGAATTTCTTGAATGCCTGGTTTTATCTGCGAACAAGTACTCTTATTTTTCTTATCTTTTTTTAACTAAATTCAGCTGATTGCTGTCTTTTTCAGCACGCAGATTTCTCACTATAATGTTAATTCAGAAATAAGTATTTTTTAGCAAAACATTCTTTCCCTATTAGTGAGCATTCATCGCTACTTCTGCCGCCATTAATTTTTAGTGACTGCGCCTGATTGCTCCATTTTTACCACGTGACCCCAACGCATCCGCAAAACATACGGATAGAAATTGAACATTGTTGAACTCCATCCGTATGCCATCCGTCACCGCACACCGACCGGATTGCAGGTGTCAATCAAAGTGAATTCGCTCGCTGATTGGAGAAACGCATACGCAGCAGTGGAAACGGGCCTTTAGTCATCTTAACATGAATTCAAGCACCTGAACATTTGGTAGTCCAGCTGGTCTTGTTCTCGTTTAAAATCAATTTCATGTATGAAAATATTTCCTCACATTTATAAGTTGAATCAAATGTTGACAAAATGGCAAAGTCAATTTTCTGGAACTATGAATTATGGATGAGAGTTGCCAAACATTGATTTCTCCTTGAAATGTTACAAATACGTGCTGGTTATTGCAACTTTGTAATCAAACAAAAGTGTTATTATTATTTATTTTCAGTTACTTTTTACTTCCTTGAATAAAGTAAAAGAAGTATCGTAATGACAAAAAATTCTGGGAACCATATTTCAACGAAAATATCCATTTTGACTCCTATCGAATGCAATTTAATGATGTTTTTGCATGACATCTGTATGTAAGGATAGAATAAAAGACTCTTTCTCCCCAAAAACAAATTATAAAACTAATTTAAAATGGATTCAGAAGAGATTTTTTTCGTGGTGTCTGTACGGACATATGTATCTCACATGATATGAGTAGTCTCAGAACGTTGAAATTTTGTATATAGGACTGCTATAACATGTAGATGTGCACCTCGTATTTTGGTTGCAATCGGCCACGCCAAACGTATATAAATATATTTATATATATATATCCACTCTGTTACCCGGCTCAGTGATCTCAGTTTCTTTATTCTTATATGTTTGTAAATTGTGCATTTTTTGCTTTAAAAATGATTGTTTTATGTTATTCTTATCTTTCGGTTAAGGTTTTTATGCCTTTAGGAAATTTGCAAGCAATATTTTGTAGAATTATCAACAATTTAAAAGCTGTTTAAGTGTAGTTAAGTCTAATTTTTTAAATAACATGGCAGGCATTTTTGTTTACATTTGAAACAGCAGAATAGTAGATTTTTTGTGATCGATTCAGCATAGCATGCACAACAAATTTCTATGCACAAAAGTCAGTTTCAATGCTGAGTGTCTCTTTGCTGAGGAAGACCAAAAATAAACTTTCAGTTTTGTGCACTGAAAAATCTGCCTTCTTGCCCGTTGGCTGAATTGCTTGTTTTTGCGTAGAAACTATAATTTTAATTGTCAAAATTGTTCTTTACATTGTTTTAGCTGTATTTATATTTTATATTTTTCTACATTTTTCAATTTTTAATAAAGATATTTTGAGGTTCCATGTATTTTTGCCTTGTCGTGAAGTGAGAATTGAATTAATTGAATGAGAAATATATCTTTAATGAAATAACAGGAAATAAGTTTAAATGAAATGCAGGAAAAAATGCGTATAATTTAATATTCCATAAATGGAAGTCATGTGGGGTACACATCAGATTTTTTTATGTTATTCTTCAAGCATTTGTTTCATATTTATATTTTACAATTTATTTTAATACTTTATTTTCGGAACACAAGTGGGTCACCTAAAATTACAAAATGGGTCACTCAGTGACCCATGGGTCATAATTTGCCATGGCCCGATCTAAGATATGAAAAATGTACAATGCCTTTGCTGGGGTTTGAACTCTGGACCTCCCAATGCCAATCACGTGTGCTTCCAACTACACCCCAAAAGCACATGCTAAAAAGGTAGAAAAATCCTTTATAACACTAATGATGAATGTGCTAAGAGCTTTCAATGTGAAATGAAGTTGTTAATAGCCTCTTACAGAAAACAATATAATGCCTTAACTGAAACATGAACACAATGACTGGCAACTGAATTCATTTGTAAAACGTGTGAAGTATATGAGGAGACTCACGATTTTGTTTGAGATATCATGAAAAGAATTTCATTAATAGTGGAAGATGATGATATCCACAACATTTATGATGCTAATAGTGATATTTGAATTGTACACAAACTTTTGTACCATTTACTGCCAGAAAGTGAACATGAATAAAATCTTGTAACATGTAAAACTGTCTTTTTTTATGAAGAATTTTTTTCATATGAAATGCAAATTAAATTAATACATTTTCTTACATGTCATTATATATGTGTGTGCATAAGCTATAACAAAATATGATAGCTGCTTCAAGAAATGACTGGTGACCTCAAAATTAACTATTCTAGATTTTATGTTCTCCCAAATTTGAGATATTTCCAGGTTACATAACACTGCTTGAAAAATGGAACTAAAATCCAAAATTAACCAACAGATTAGCTATACTTATGCACCTGTCTGGTGTAAACAGCTACTAAATGTGCAGTCTCTTTCTCTCTCTTTCGCCTTCTCTGCCTGCCTATTTGACAGCGTGTCGATCGGCCTCTTCTAGCTATTCACCATTATTTAAAATATAATTTCATACCTAAAATTATGGGGTGCATATCTTCTACCGGTTATGACGATACGTGCTAAAAAATTTTTCATCCAAAAATAAATTATGTTTAATTATCAAGCAGGTCGTGATTCTTCAAAAATTCCATCAGGTCATTCCACTACGTCACAATTTCCAATCATCTACACAGTTAAAATACTACATATATATAATATTTAATATTATTAAAATACTAAGCATAAAATGAATATTTTTAGATAGTTTCTTTTAAATATTTTTTAGATCTGGAGCTATTTTTCTTTTCTTCCATTGATTTATTTTCATTTCTTTTTTCACATGAAATATTTTACAAACATGTCTATCATGTAAAAATTGAATTATATATATAACATAAATTTTTAATATGCAATAGTACCTATGATTTACCTTTTCAAAACAGGAGATATCTTAATTGAAGAAAGTAAACTTGTAAAAAGTTTACCAGAAGACATAGATTTAACTGAAATAGTATCCGAGTCTTCATCTTCTGACTTTGCTTTGGATAAAATCATTTTTTTGGGTCTGCCACGTGGCGGAGTAGCTATGGCCGGTAGAGGAATGCTTTCCATTTCTACTAGAATATGATTTCCACAGTTGGGACAAACATCAATTTCTTGGGGGATATCTAAAATATTTCATTTTTCAAAAAAGTTACAAACAAATATGAAACCATGAATAGCATCAATATTAAAAAGAAAAAATTCTTTGTTAATTTACTGCAGCTTTTAGAAACTGATTGCTGATGCTTTGTTATCAGACAGATCAATATAACCTTTTGAATAAATAAACAGAAGATAAAGACAACAATCTAAACCCAGTATGCTGAAACAGAATACAGCATTTCTAATGGTATCTATCCAAAGCATATTACTGCATGTTCTAGAAGTGTCCGGACATTTAGACTATAAACAAGATAAAAGAAAATAGTTGCCTTGTCAATATTCAAAATTTTCTTTGCACTTGTAGACAAGAACCATCACAAACCACTCTTTTGCAAGGCTTAGTATGCTTTCTTACAGCATAGAAGAATATCCCTATGAAAGGGCCCACCAGCGGCCAAGGGTATAATTGCTAGATGCCTGTATTCCGACCTGGGTTTGAATACATGAACGGGTTTACTGCATGGATATCTTCATGGTTTTCCTCATGTGTAGCATGTTTATGATACAGTTTCCTTTACAAAGTCCTCCACCAAGGCATCCTTCCTCTAAGGAAAATAGCCCTTGTATGCTGTGCCATAATTAAGTAAACCAAACTAATGCATCACTATAAAAGTTTGTGCAACACGAAAGGCAGATAGCCCTAGTCTACTGTGCCATAATAAACTAAATCAAATCAACCCTATGAAATATAAGTGGAACATTTCAACCATATACGTTCTAGTAGCTTAGGATATTCCAAACTGAAATAAGCTTGCAACATTCTAGAAATATTCCTTTAAAATTACAAAATATCCTCTGGGAATATGCCTGGAATATTTTAATTTGCTTGTGAATGTCTCCAGAAATTTATGGAATGATATTTGAAAAAATATATAGGAGTTCCCATGCAGTGTGGTGCAATAAGATGAATGATTTCATTGTGTTTATTAACATAAAGAACAGATACTTTTTATATGTTTTTATTTAGTTCACTCTTGATCTTTCTTCCACTGTGAGTGGAATTTTATTATTGATTTTTAACTCTCTTCCTCATAAGTTATCAAGTTCAAATTTAGTACTCACACTGTTTGTCGATGATAATGAAATCTGATAAGCTATTTTTCAAAATTCAATTTAGATTTTTTTAAACTAATACTTAAATAATTTTTCCATATATCTTCATTTAACTAAACTAAGCACATCAGAATTGTTGCTGTCTGTAACCCTTGAATAAAGCAAGAAAATATCTCTTCAGTGAAACATGTATGAAAATTGTAATGTTAATTTCTGAATTTTGGGAAAACTGTTGAAAATCTCTCAATTTTTTCAACTGTTTGATATCTGTGATTTTAAGATTTCAACATCCAAAAATGTATCAGTCATAATGTTTTGAAATTTTCATAGATTTTAAAACAAACTTTTTGCCCTCTATTAAAACAAGAATGACAAAAAAATATTATTCAAAAAATTTTCTAACTTCTTTTAAAAATATATCTCAAGCAGTTGGAAGAAAAAGTGCTACAAGTTTGTCACCTTAGTGCACTTAATAACGAATTGCCAATATTTGTTTTTTCATTTTAGCTTTCAGTAAAATACTTGTTGTAACAGTTATTATATCTAATTTCTGAAAATAGAAATTCAGAGCAATTTCTTCATACATTGAAAGGAATTAAGTTATTCTTCTTTACTTCATAATTTTCTTTATTGCTTCTGTTTCAGCAATGACAAAAAATTTCATCATTCATAATGCACAATGTGTGTTTGTTTTAAAATTTAAAAAAATAAGATTTTATTTATTTAGCTTTAAGTCATAAAATGATGAATGAGCTAAAGGGAGAAAAATTATTTATCATATAGCTTAATGGGAACAATAGATTAGTGAATTCTTTACAAATTTTATTGACAATTTTGTATTATAAGTAATAAAAGAATGGGGCTTAAGTAAAGAAATCTACTTGTTTAATTGCATTATCAAATGTACAAGCCATTATCTTCTTTAATTTATCTTAAACAGCCCATGCTTGAAATAAGCAACATTTATTTTTTAGGACATATTTTTAGACAGTATTTGCAAAAAGTAACCTAGTCTGCAATCTACATCCTCAAGACAGATTGACTGACTTTTGTGGGTACAGATGCTGGCCACTAGTGATTCGTATAATAAATGACATTGAAAACTTACACTGGAAATCTTCTGCATGTGTTATTTTTAAAGCTTAAAATACCAAAAAAAAAACATAACTTTTGACGTATGAATAATATGTATAGTATTATCTTGATAACTTTTCACTAGAAGAAGAATGAAAAGATACATCTATAAGATATTAAAACTACTGGAGGTAGCTTACAGCGACTGAAGGGTTACATTATTATAATGCATTAAATATTCCATTTTTAAAAGTGACATATACAAACATGAAAATTATAAGTTTAAAAAAAAAAAAAAAGATGCAAGATTCATATGAAATACGGAGTAATGCAAAAATTATAAAGGTAATTTCTTAAAAAATTTTCACTCTTAATTTTAATAAAATTCTACTGCTCAAGAAATAATCTGTGTTAGTGCAACTATGTGGTTGACTTATAACTTCATATTGCACATCTGTCACCAAAACAAAAATCTACATTTTTTTAAAATTTTCCTTTAAATGCCATTTCTAATGTTTCAGTATTTCATATTTAACCAGATGTGAGAAATATATGTTCTCTGAGACTTATAAAAGTGTTAGGTAAAAGCCATAACTTATCCTTGACAGATAATTTGCAGCTTCAAGATTTTTGCATGATGCTATTAATACACTTCAAATTAAATAAAACAACAATTATTCTAGATTTTAATCAAAACCACAGAACAATAATTACCTCTATCAGAACTGTACTTAGAAGGAAGCATTTGATTTCCTGGTAATCGCTTCTTTGTCTCAAGAACTTTACGATTAGCAACTTGCTTAGAAAATTGTGAATGGCATTTTAAGCACTGTTAAGAAAAATCATTTGTAAAGAAAATCCCATTTCATTATATTTTACTAAAAGAATTTCTTTTTACTTAAAAAACCACATTTATGTCATTTCAAAACAATAGTAAAAATAAAATACAACATACTTCCAATGCTCCCAATGTAACTTCCTGCAGCGTTCTGGCATCCGCAAATGGCTGCAGTATTTTAGTCATGCCCTAAAAATTTTCTTGGTTAAAAAACTGGTTTAATTCAAAGAATCAATAACAGCTGTTAGGATATTAATAAACTTACTTTTGCAGATTGAAGGTCCTCGAAAATATATTGTCTTTTTTGCCTTGAAGGTTTCACAGTGTCAAATTCTAAATACACTTCATATTTAGTACAGTCATTCTACAAACAAATAAAACATTTGTTCATGATATTTTATTAATTATATCATTATTTAGATTATAAGATATTCTGAAAACCATAAAAAAAGAGAAATCCTTAGTTTTAAATATAACTACTAGCTGTTGAAATTGAAATAAAATTAAAAAAAAACACCTATAGATATGAAATCTACATGATATGTGCAACATAGCTGGACAAGGAAATGACTGCAGTGTAACACACATTCTTATTATGGACACCATTAATGCCATCTAAAATCAGCATGACAGCCAAGAATAGAAAGCCAGTTTTTAAGACGTGACTTGCTCATCGTATGCTTAAAGATTCTATGCATGTCTCATACAAGAAGGCATAATTTATATCAGCATGTGTCCAAATTCGATCACAAGAGAACTGTAGCTTATCATGACTGCAGATCATATTAGCAAACTTGCTGTGCTTATGGCAGGAGTAGCTATACTCCCTTAAAGAGGGATTGGATCGGACTTTCTGGAACTGATCATTTATTGGGAGGAGATCCGGGGTCTAGTTTGGCCCTTCTGAGAGAAAGGATTGGTTACAGACTATCGATGTGCAATATATAGCTTCTGTTTTAATCTGACATTTGCCTCCGCATGACCCCGCCAGAAACCAGGTTCAACTGGGCTAACTATTTTTGGATGACCACTCCTGGGGATTGACTAGGAGTAGTCCTGGCTAGGTTTATATCGAGACAGTCTCAATTTCTGGGGTAAAGTTTACAGTCTTCACAGGACTAGAATTATCATTGTTTATTCAGTGGTAGGTTCAGGCTCGGCAGAGTCGCACTGGTGCTGTCTTGTCTGTTCTTTGGTGGTGGAGGCACTACATTGTTAGATTTTGAAAGGTGTCCTTGGGGTACTGAGGGTCGGCACTGAGGGATGATGGAAGTCTAAGATGCATACCTGAAACCCCAGACTATGTGAGACTGAAATTGTTCCCCTGGATGGGACATTTAAATGTGTAAAGCTCCACTTAGCCATGTCTGGGTGCCCCTTCCTTCTGGCATGTTGTTGTGCTTATGTTGCTGGATATTCAACAACTGTTATGCTAATATGAAATTGATAAGTCCAGGAGAGGCAAATGGAGTCATGAGCAATCCTAGGTCCAATCAGGCTGAAGTACAGTGAACACCCAACGTTTAACCAAAGGTAATGTTTCCCAGCATAACAGCGACCAAAGAGATAGACACCTTAAATGCATATTCGATATAAATTATACAGCCACAGCACACAATTAGGATGTGGGGCACAGTAACAAATATCCTGACCCTGAAGGCTAAGCACACAATTAGGATGTGAGGCACAGTAACAAGTATCCTGACCCTGAAGGCTAAAGATAACTGCAAGTCTGATAATAGTATGTTTGACTGTTTAGACTGATACATTTCTTTATTATACTGTTCTTTGCAATTACTCAGAACATTTCACAAACTTGCCTGCAACATATGAATCCTTTCAAAATCATTCTTCTCTACTGCAAACACTAAAAGCGAACAATACTTTTTTTCCCTTTCTGCCATTTTCTTTCTTTTCATTTTCTTAGAATTATTTTTGTTTAGCCCAAAAAATAAACAAATAAAAGTTCTAATGCAAAGAGTGGTGAGAGGCTAAAGCTTTGAATTGGTAATTTACATCAGATTTCATTTCCAGTGGTAGAATTAGGTTATTTGAATATCGCAACATGAGGGCTATCTGCCTAAGAGGCCCTCATATAGAATGAAGAACCTTTTAAGGGAAACTGGCTTATATTTACCTTACACATGGGAAAAATAACCATGCAGCCAGTTTATTCACCTGTGATAAAACCTGGGTTGAACTCGCACTATTCAGCAGCCTTAACAACTTGTCCATTGATAAGGAATTTAACGATAAAATGTCTCATCTACATGAGGTTTTCATGGGTCTCCTAGTATGTAACATATGTATAAGTCTGTATACATCAAAAAGTATTCCATAAACCATCCCTTCCTAAAAGCAAGTACTTGTGTACTATGCATAACCAAAAATACAAAGTCAATAACACTAACTACTGTAAAATTAGAAAGTTATAAAAAGTCATGATTAAGATACTCAGAAGAGAAAAGATCTGAAATAAAACACTATAATGATTAATAATGGTTTTATCAAAGAATCCATTCATTAAAGTTATTAATAATATAAAATAAAGCACAAAATAAATTATTAGCAGTGGTGATTCAAAAGGAATGTTCATGTAACACACTAAGTAACTAATAATTAAGGGAGGAACCAGAGAGAAAATGAGAACAGCATGTTGATAACTTTGAGCTATCAGTATGCAGACAATATAACCTGGAACTATTTGAGAAAGCTTTCTAATTTCTTGCAGAAAATATGATGCAGGTTATTTCTTCTAATGTTTTTGAAGAATAACTTGAATCCAAATAATTTAATATTTTTTAAAGTTCTTCACAAAAGATAACATTGGCATTTTGTAAATTTGGTGAGTTACCTTTTCTTAACTCCCAAATAGCATTTCAGCATATATAACATATTCTACAAGACACAATATTGCACAAACGGAATAAAAGAACATACAAACCTGCTCAGAAGTTACAGTATAGACTGATGTTAAGCTGCTAAGATCTAAGGTATCTATTATCCTTCCTGATATAACATTTTTTTCTTTGGCATATTTTGGCCCAATATGTACTGATAACGTTTCTTTAGTCAAATTCATATTCCTTTCAACAAAAAATACAGAATCTTCCGACTCTGAAAATAAATGCTTTTTTATACCATTTGACAAAAATTCTTATTAAATGCACAATTTAACATAAAATAGAATTTTCCTAAAACTTGATTTCAATAAAATCTCAATATAATTTTTTTAACAAAGTGAAAAAATACTCTGCCATGGATGGAGCTTTAGATTTCTAATTTTACTTTTTGTGGTAAAAATAATTGCTATATCATTATTTAAAAAACAATACTTTACCTAATATAAAATTAGGCAAAAATCAAACTTAGATTAATGTTGGTTTCATTAAAAAAAAATCAATTTCAAGAAAGGCTTGGGGGAGGGTAACTTTTTTCAAGAAACAAAAACAATCTGCCTGTAAAGTAGAATATTTTTACTCCTTGAATGAAAAGGACTACATGCCTAATTCTACAAAACTCAAGAAACTTCCCTAGAAAAGCAATGTTAATCTAAGGCGATTTCTGCTTGAAGCATGTTAATTTCAGATATCAACATGCTTCTCTTCCGTGCGCATAATCTAATACTCAATGAGAGATGATGTTAGAATCCCAATTAAGGATATATGTACACTGAGAATAAAAATATAAATCCCAAAACTTTTAAATATTTTACTAAGGTTATCAATATATATTCTAGACAGGTAATTATGCTAGACAGGTAATTTTCCGGTAAAAGACTCTCACCAATATAGGAAGTTTCATGCACTTATAGCAATATTTATCTTATGTTTCAGGCTCTTATTATGATACAAAAACTTTAAACAGCGACACAGCTAAAATAATAATTAAATATTCTTTGTTGTCTGATAGCACAGCTTGTAAACCAACATACTTATTCCCATTAAGTTGAGTGCAGGCTCAAAGTTTAAGACATTTCAGAGAGCCTGAGAACATGCATAGAGTTCTGCAGTGAATATTTTCATACTTTGTAATTAGTCACACTGGCTCCAAAGTAGTATGCAGATGTGTGGGAAGACAGTATAAGGTGCCTTTGAGCTGCTATATTTCAGTTATGTACATTAACTTACAAGACACTGGGCAATTTTTTCTTTCCCTGGCCACTCTGAACCATAGATTAGTAAAATCACAGATATTAAATCACAGGATATGGGTATATGACTGTATACACCACATTTGCTTTTCCTACAATAAAAAGCTTTATATTAGAACACTTTTTTTCCTTTCATTTAATTCTTTAGAAAGATTTATTAAAAAAGTATTAAAATGCAATGCAGTAGTTTATTTCAAATGTTCAGCTTCTTTCAAAACATTTCTTAAATTATGAAACAATTTATACAAAATAAATATTTAAGAATATAATTGATGGGAAAAAAATAAATCCACTCTTCACATCCTAATTCATCAAACTTATTTGCTTTCAACTTTTCAATTCTTTACACAAATAAGTATATGAGAATGGTTTTCGGTGCACAGCAATTTTATTTTTATCTTTTTGATACGCATTTTGCGATGGCAATTAAATTTCAAACTTATACCACTTTGCAATAATGCTTTTACCACAGTCACTAACAGCTGCTTTGAAACCAATAAATGCTATAAATTTTAACTTAAATATTAAAAAAATATTAATACGCAAATTTATTTCTCACTTAACTACTCACTTTATATTAATAAATCTACATTATTATGAATTTGCATATGAAATACTACCAAATATGGATCTACATCACCAAACAAAGGATTGCTATTTTTTTCTCCTGAACAGAGAAATTTGAAATCTCAGACAAACATTAGTTCAGAAATGATCTTAATACATGAAATAAGTCTTTCTATTAATAATTTAAAGGAAATTATAAGTACTATAAATACTATGATATTATATATGATAAATACTATGTTTTATAAATACTATGATTCATTACTTCTAATAAAATATTCTAACAATGATTTGTACAATAGATATCATTCATCTACATACATCTGCATCATTTTAGGATATTGAGTAGGGTATTTATAGTTGATGCTATTGAGCATTAAGTTTAAGTGGGTTCAATCTATGCTATCAATTTTCATCAGGCATTTGATTATGGAGGAAATTTTGCTGCTACACAAAATGTTAAAAAAGGCTCTTTCTAGAAAAAGCCAATTATCAAATGTTTTAAATGTTACTGAAAAAGATTTCAAAAAGAGAAAAAAAAAGACAATAATTACACCAAATAAATGACAAGATGAGGAAATAAATAGTAAATTTAATATTAAATAGCAATCATATGGACATACAAACCATATACATAATTGCTAAAAATCTTAAAAATATAACTTCAAGTGGCACTTCTTTCTTATAGCAGTCCCAAGATTGAGTCGGGAATCAACCTAGATATTTCACCAAAATCTGGCTGCATGTTTTTATACCTCACCACATGACTGTATATTAACAATGGTTGTATGTTCTTATACTTGGTCATTTAGTTGTATACTAGCACTTTTGCTCTCACCGCAGTTCTTATATTATTCGTGTTTGAAGAGGTTTTCAAATTTGCACTGTTTATTTAAAAATACATTCATTGCTTTTTTGTATGAATATGACATTAATAATCTTTAATTTACCAAGTAATGAGGTAAATGCCATATAATTTTTTTCATGAAAGCGGTCTTTTACCTGACAAATGTTTATATGAAGATGAACATAACAAGAAAATTTAGATTAATGCTTAAACCATTTGGAGATGCAATGCTAAAAATTGCAAAAAGAAGAAGGTCCACCGTGTTGGAGCTGTTTCAGCAGTTGCAGAATATCCTTCATCACCGCTATTAGATTTATGTATTCTTGGACAGTGGAGTTGATGGCCATGAAATAGGGTAACAAACAGCTTAATATATGTGAAAATGCTGCAGTTGACTGAAACAATTACATACGATAAAATAAAAATAATAATAAGGATAAGGATTCTTAAAATTCTCCTTAGGAAATGGCCTGTGAGTATTGTTGTTGATATTATTACATGTTGTGTTTTACATTCACTATTCACGAGCTTGGTGAAATTACAGCAGAGATCTTGGTGCAAATTTAAAATTGCAAAATATGGTTGGGGGCTGTTATAACAAAGACAACCCTTAAAGCTTTGAAATATTGAACAACCATATATTTTTAAGTTTTCATACAAAATTCAGAATGCCTCTTGCATTAAAAAAAAAATTAGGAATTTCAAATCTCAGATGGTGAAATTAAAATAAATGTTACCTTCTTCTGATTCTATATCATTTGGCTCTCCACTATGCTCATCATCAGAGCATGTACCTTCATTGCTAATATAAACATCACAGTCATCATTTGTTTGAGATAATATCGCTTCAGAACTAAGTTCTTTTGTTTCAAGTACTTCAATATCATCACTTTCTTTTGAGCAATGTCTAGTTCGATTTTCTTCCATAATAGAAATGTCACTGGTCATCTTTTCTAAAATTTCACAAGGTGAAGATAAAATTGATTTTGTACCGTTTTCATGTGCCTTGTTAGGTGTTGAATGAATTTGAAGAATATTATTTGACAGTGTGCCATTATCAAAGTTGTTAAATACAGGTGTATTGGAAGGAACCTTGGGAACTAATTCCTTAGAAGAAATATCTGGTATTAACCATGATTCACCCCGTTCTTGTCTTCTTGCTTCTAGGGCTTGTTTTACTTTTATGTGACTTGGAACAACACCACCTAAAATCATTAAAAGAAAAAAAAAAAGTGTTACTAGAAAATGAAACAAATTAAAATGCACTAATTAATTAAGAACTAAATTAAGATAATAATTAAGAACAAAATTTACTTATTTAAAAAAAAACTCTTTAATTTCAAAATGAGTTTACATCTTAGATGAAAACAATTACTGTATTAAATTATTAATACTGATCAAATAAGTTCAGTTAAAGTAACTTCTTTGTTACTTTTTTTAATCACTAATAAAAGAGAAAATTACTGAGAGGTATACTAGAGATATTATTTAAAACACTTGACACAGCTTTTTGAGTGCTCAGTACTTCATCAAAATAGCATTCTTTAAATAATGCTATAATTTTGAAGAATAAGAATTGATATAATACATGTGGTGCTAAATCTGGTTAGTAAACAAGACACAACAAATGATAAATGTATTTTCTGATGAAATGACGACAAAGAATATTGCCATAAGAAATGAGCTATACTCTTCTTATAATTATCCGAATGTCATACAATGCAATCTATGATACAGACATTTCAAAACATCCAACTAAAACGCGACAGGGGCACTTTTTCCATTATACGCAAATTCTTTGCATACACTACTTTTTCTGCGATACATCATGAATACTACTATGATTTTTCATTTGACTTTTACATATTCTGTTGTTTTTAATTAAACACTTCTATGCAATCCATGTCTTGTCATCTATAATGGAATACAGGAAACACGAGATTCTTTCAAAGGCAGTAGTCATGCTATTTGATGAAATATTGTGACACCCATGCAGTTTGATTCATTTTATATTATAAAATACGTACTTAGAGATTTGACCTTCAAAATACATATTCAGGAAAAAACTCTACTTTAAAGTTCAGTTTCACTGATTTAAACAAAATTTAAAAAATTATTAATAAAATAAAAAATATTTTAAGTAAATTTTAAATTTCACTCACCATATTTTTGCCAAAACATACATAAATAATACTAATAATATCGCAAGGAAAAAAAATTCAATTGATATTTATTTTCTATTTGAAGTTTAAAGTTCGGACTTAAAAAGAGATTTACAAAAAGGACTTAAAATAGATTCCCTTACAGATTTCCTGGTGTGTTATTCATGTTAGTTTTTAGTGGAAATGAAAAATGTTAGTTTTTAATGGAAATTTAAACTCAGACTTAAAATAACTAAAAATCTTAAAATTTTTGCAACATCTTATTTGCAATAGAATACATAATTGAAATACCTTCATGGGCTACAAAAAATTGCTTTGGGATTGCATACAGCCTTGATGCCACTAGTTTGAGACCACTGTTTTAACCCTCTCAGTCCTGAATGTTTTTAGATGCACAAAAAAGTTGTCCACAAAATATTGTTTATAGGTGTTATAACACCCTCGCATTTTTTCAGATGCACAAAAAAAGTTTCCACAAAATATTGTTTATAGGTGTTATAACTTCGAGTAGCGTATTAACAAATTCCTACTTGAACTGTCCCTACTGCAGAATCATTCCACAAACAATGTTCCAACTAATTATCCACAAGATAAGTAACAAAACACATGCAGGCAAGCCACTAGATGAGACCCCAGGGTAACGAATATTAAAACAATCCTTACTGCCGATAAAACAGATTTCTACATATGACGGTGCAAATGCCACCAGCAGGGTCGAAAGGGTTAATACAGTCAAAAGTCGTTAATCCGACTCGTCGGGACTTCGGCGATTCTGGATTATCCATTTTTCCGGGATTATAGATCATCAGTTTAAAACTGGTAAAATGGCATGCAGAAATTATAAAATTAAAAATATGAAACCGTAATTTACGAAATAAAAAACAATTATGATCTAAAGGGTATCAAAATTTACAAAAAAAAAAAAAAGCTTAATATTTATTTGTTTACTTTATTAAACATTTCTTTCAATGTAAGTTGTTTAAGTTGCTTCGTTTTTTTATGTGATAATACATTCTCTTTAATTCCATATAAACAGACATAAATTCTTGTTTCAGTTACAAAGTTCCGCTGTTCAAGTCCTATAATTGCTGTGTCGAGAATACCGAACTAATTTGTCAATCGAAATTTTTTTCGTTTTCAATAAACCTCTCTGTCACTTTCTTCACTATCGTAAGCGAATTATAATGAAGAAGGAATTTGATTTAAATTATATCAAAGACGGAGTACATCGATGATGAAATACTACATTTAGTAAGCAAATTATAAGCCAAATAAAATAAAAACATCTGCCCTGAAGATAAGGATAGTGCTGACAGATCAACTTCCAATTCATTGCGGTCCGCGGGCGTTAAAGATAAACAAATTTTAGGTAAACAAACGTTAAAGTTTAGATAAACAAAGGATATACCTTTATGCATTTTTTGCAGCAATTCCACTTTTTGTTTAATGGACTCCGAAAGATACTTTCGCTTTGTATATCCTTTACATATTAGTAAATATATATCGGAAATTCTATTTGAAATAATCGAAAGCTCAAGCTTACTTTTATAAAATTGCTCTAACAAGTCTGCAAAAAATAATAAGCCGGATCCAATTCGAAGACTAAGGAACAACGCAATCTGCAACATTAACTGAAATAGATAATTAGATGATTTTAGCTTAGCTTATCCCGTCCGTTATACATTAAACGCGCATTCGTAAACGTATTTTGCGCACGCGCACACGCAAATTCGCAGCCGTAAAGATCTTACGCGCATGCGTCAACGCGACGCACGCGCAGAAAATTTGTAGCTTTGAGGTCCGGATTATGGGTGTCCGAATTAACGACTTTTGACTGTATGACCTCTTGCCATTTGCTTTGTCATAGATTAAACTCTTGCTGATGAAAATCCTTTGATTTTAATATTTAAAAACGTCTTGTATTATTGTTTTCGCATGTTGCATATCATGAAAGAATTTAAGGACCAAAGAATTCTGGGACAATAAAAACTGATGATAGTCTGAAAGAGCAAAGTCTGGGGATGAAGTAAAACTTCACAATCAAAGTTGAGTAGTTTCCCTGAGTGATTAAAGCAGCATGAGGATTGGCATTATCATGCTGAAAGATAATGATTTTGTGATTGACAAGTGCTGGCCACTTATACATCAGGTTTTGAATCAGTATGGCCAACTGTTGGCAGTACATGTCAAGATAGATAATGGTTTTTACCTGTCATTGCTCTTCACAGAATCGATATTGGAACTCGCTGATGAACTTAGTAATCAACCTTAGCTTGTACATTTATCTTTCAACTATTGTTCCATGTGCAAGTAGCTTTTCTCTAATACCTCAATAACTGCACGTGAGGCATTCCATACTTCTTTATCAAGAATCTGACCAGAAACCACTAATGGAAAACTGTAACATAGTTATCTTTAGCTTCTGTCTCCATCATAGAATTTCCAAAATCAGCAAAAAAATTATGCTAACAATGAAACACATTAGTTCTCAATTAGTTCAAACACATTAGTTCTCAATGAAAGGACTTAAAATTCCTAACACACACTTAATGAAAATTCCAGCCTGTTACTGAACTGCTTCTACCAATCTCATGAAACAAATAATGTCTGATATTCTCTTTACCCTTTGCCATTTTAAAACATTTGAAATTTGGTTTATGAATGGTTTATGGTAATAATGTAATATGATCTATGGCTTTTAGTTAGATATTACTTAGATGAAGCCACTAAAATGCTAATTTTAAACATCAAAATAAACACAAATAATTAAGAATACATAAATGAAAATGATGCCATTAATTAATTTAATAATTCCTAATTATATTACATTATTAAATTTTTAATTCAATTAAATTTAAATTTCTTCCAATTTTACAAAACAAAAGCAGAAATGATCTTTAGAAATGCCATTTTTATGAGTTATTCAGTTGCATATATTACGAATGTCGTGCAGTATGACCGAAAAACTGCCATCAGTTTTGTTCACCTCTATCACGGTTTTGTGAGACAACATGGAATTATCTGCTGTGCTTGAATCTCCAGCTGCAAATTCAATTGTTTAAATATTAGTACTATCTATAAAAATGACAAAGAATTTCTGATGGTTACAGCTCAATGATTGTATCTTAATCGGTCCAGCCCTTATAAAATGGGTCCTCATGGTAATTGAGCCAGATATTATTTCCTGCTCAATGGAGTGGTAGATTGCAGAGTATATCATTACCTGAGTTACTCTCAAGCATGCTGCCTTTACAATTTACTGACCTAAAATTCCAATCATCACAGTGTCAAAACAGCCCATAATTTGAATCTTTAAACTCGCCTTATGTTTTAGAAATGATAAAATAGCAGCTCCTAATAAATAAAAAGAAATATTTAAAATCAATATTAGATAACTTTTCTGAATAATATCATAACTAGTATCAAGTATCAATCCCTTTAACAATATTTTTGATTTCATGAAAAAAGTAATTTTCCCTTTTGGGGAGAGCATAGTCCCTAAAAATTATTCCTATATGACTTTTTTTTAAAAAATTATTATTGTTGTGAGCCATAAATTATCCAAAAGAAAAATAAAAACAACTGTTATGCTCCCTGTAACTTTTCTGGTGCACATGCACAACATCCATTTTTGCTTGGTTAATAAATTTGATTACATTCTCTTTCCTTCCTGCATTTAAAAGATAGAGATCATAACGTTTAAATGTGCAGAATTTTATAATCCCCCAAACATAAGAGGTCATATTCATTATTTTCAACAGAACATAAGATTTCTAAATATTTCAGCACATAGCCAGAATGAAATGATGTAAGCATAAGCCTAACTCAAATGATTTAAAAATACTAAAATCTAGCACTACTGGAAAGAAATCAAAAGTAACCAACTTAGCAACTCAGAGAAAAATTTAATCAATGTGAAAAACAGCTCAGCATGTTAAACTACACTAGAAAGACAGGAATAATTACATGCATGAAGTCTGTCTGCCATATATCATTAAAGTAATAATAACGGCTCATATTTTATCATCTAAACAGACAAAAGC